CATGAGCTGGTGGGCTCATCTGTAGACGTTGCATCTGTTTGGGGTCAAGTGGGCAAAAAGGCTGCCAAAAATCTCGAACGCAGGGTTCTTGAAAATTAAGGAGGGATCACCTTAGGTTTTTCTTCCCAATCACCTGCCTGATCTCGCTGTAAGCTTCGGCGTGACCTCTGTTTTAAATTTTAACTCACGCAGGATAAAACTGAAATTAATCGTCAGATCGACTGGATACTTGCAAATTTCCTTAGCTTCCGTCATAAATCCCGAAGTCCTGTGATATCTGCTGGTTGAAAGAGTTCAGATTGCTGAGAAAGATTCTGCGGTTATCTCTGATGCTGGATTCAAGCCAGAGTCTGAAACGTCAGGCCAATAAACCTCTTGTTCCGGCAATCGCATCGACGACCTCTGGCAGTTCAGATTATATAAGACGTCAGCACACTGCAAGCGCTTGGGGCATATCGGTCGTACATCCGCTGTAATGGCCCTGTCCAATGTGTTGAGCTTATCGGAAGCTTTCTAGAAATAACGTCACTTTGATAAATGTGTTGTGTTAACAGTGAACTTACCTGATAACACAGCTTCTTATTCATCCGCCTCGTATGCTGACTGACTAGCATTTGCTTGGAGACTGCCTTTCATGGACTGCAGTAAATCTCGCTCATCTGCGATACAGTGAACATGTAGCGCCGACCCTGTCGCATTAAGCAGGATGCAGGTCTTTGTAGGCATAAATGCGATATCCTCCCTGCACAAGTCCCGACGCTGGTTCTGGGGGAGGAAATTAAGTTACCGGGTTGCAAAACCATCGCTTGAAGGCTCTTTATTCCGACACATGCGAGCTTGTCAAAGTAGGTACGTTTGCCAGGACGCACCCATGGTTAACTTACATAATGCAGACTTTCTTTTTCGCTATCAAAGCGAAGGGGTTTGGAAGATTAAACTTGCCTGTAACGCAGGATACGTCGTTTAAATCTAGTAGATGCCGCCAGTGTCCTGTGTTCACTGTAGCCAGCAAACCGTATGATATCTGTGTTTTGAACCATGTAATTTCCAGTGTGAACAACTTTCACAACTGACGATCCACACTACTTGATGGTACCGTGAAAGGCGCTGCGGCTGTAGAATTTCTCCAGCAAACTTTAGTTTTGTCATTCGTCGCAACAGTACTGGTCTGTTCTAGCCCCCCTCAGGTCGAAAAGGACGTCAGTTTCGCATATCCTTCTGATTTTTTAAGTGCTAAACCTTTTGAAAGTCTCCTACACGTTCTCCCTTGTCCAATTGTTTCCTCTCCCCCCACAGAATGAAGCTGGTGAGCAGCACGACTCTGAGACGGACAAAGTTGAATCCAAGTCCTCGCCCACTGAATCCTCCTCCAGCCCCGCTGAGAAATCGGGGGAGACTAAGTCAAAGAAGTCTGCTTCTGCTGGCGACTCCTTCTTGGGCCTTCCCTTCTTCTCCACCGCCGCACCAAAACCC